ACGTATGCATGTACTGTAATGACCCAAAAATAAAATGCACATGCTATTGTAATTATCATATATTAAGAACATGATGACAAATACAGTTTGCTGTATTGTTTTTACTGTTGTTGTCCCAGTACTGTTTGATTGCTTACTATCATTGCTATGGGTTTTTAAGATTAAGAAATAGTGGTATAAAGCAGGAGGTGGCACGGTGCTGCAGTGTTCTACCTCACAGCTCTGGGGCCCTGGGTTCATTTCTGGACCTGGGGTGCTGTCTGTGTGGAGTTTGTATGTTTGTGTGGGTCTCCTCCCGCAGTCCAAAGACATACTGGTAGGTTCATTGGCTTCTGGTAAAACTAACCCTGGTGTGTGTGTGTGTGTGTGTGTGTGTGTGTGTGTGTGTGTCAGCTCGCCCTGCAATGAACTGCCATCCCATCCATGCTGTACCCCCACCTTGTGCCCGTTGCTTGCTGGGATAGGCTCTAGCTCCCCTGCAACCCTGAACTGGACACAAACTTTGCTCAAAAGAGCCACTGCTGAGAGTGCTTTGACGTGATTTGTAAAGTTCATTACAACCAAAAATCTAAAGCCATCTAGTGTAAAGCAATCACCTTTTAGCCTCAAGCCAATTCATTTCACTTTTTAAAGAAAGTATCACCCTGGAGGCATGTTTAAAATTTGGGATATTAAAAAAAATCCAAAAAGATCTCTTTCTTGAAAAATGAGTACAGTAATTTCAAGGCACTTTGTTTTCCAATTAAAAAAAAAACACCCAGGCACAACCATTATAATTTTTGTGTTTGAATGTAATGAATGTGCTTTTTGGTCTCATTCACTGTAGCTCTGTACATTAATCTATCATCACAGCGCAACACCACACTAGCTCAGCACATCAGTCAAATTACAAAAACACTCGAAACACTAGAAACGCGCAGAAAGGTGCACAATGCTGGGAGTACATTTGGCGTGTGAAAAAACTCTTGTGGAAAGCACTTAAGAAATTCCTGTAATATCTCCTTGCAAAGTTGATTCTTGCAAAAATACATGATAATTGATAATTCTATCAGTTGCAAAATGTCTCTGTGCCTTTTACAGTGTAGCGGTGGGAAATGTCAAATTAAAAGCCTCAGCTAGTGCAAGGTTTTCATCACTCATCATCTGTTCTGCTGCTTTACCCAGCTGTATTGAGAAGGGTCGTTTAACAGTCAACATCACACACTTTCACCTGACAGAAAGCAGCCAGCTTGACGAGACTGTGCTCTACAGGGCATGTCTGTATAATAAAGCCTGCACCTGTTGAAAGTATTTGATTTGCAAAATTGCAAAAGGATATTCTGCAGTTAAAAAAAAATGGTGTGATAATAATCCTCACACGTATATAGTACATAGGGCTTTTTCTGGACCCCCCAAAGTTGAAAGCCCTTTACAGGTCAGAGGAATGCCCCTCCAACACCACCAGTGTGCAGCCCCACCTGGATGATGTAACAGCAGCCATAGTGCACCAGTACTCTCACCACACACCAGCTCTCAGTGTGGAGGAAAACAGAGTGATGAAGCCAGTTCAGAGATGGGGATTATCAGGTCATGATTGATAAAGGCCAGGGGGAAATTTGTCCAGGACGCCAGGGTAACACCCCTACTCTTTTCGAGAAACACTCTGGGATTTTTAATGACTACGGAGAGTCAGGACCTCAGTTTTACGTCTCATCCGAAGGACAACGCCTTTTGCCAGTACATTGTCCCCATCACCATATGGGGTATGAGGACCCACACAGAATGCAGGGTGAGCGCCCCCTGCTGGCCTCACTAACACCTCTTCCAGCAGCAACCTTTTTCCCCAGGAGGTCTCCCATCCAGGTCCTGACCAGGCTCACACCAGCTGAGCTTCAGTGGGCTGCCAGCTGTGAGCTGCAGGGTGACATGGCTGCTGGCTGGTGATAAATGGCGTTTATCTCTGACATTTTCCTGTGGTGCTGTACAAGACCTACCTGTTGTTTTGTATGTCGGTCTCAAACAGGTGCTTCGAGATGAAGTGGTACTCTACTCCGTCACTCTCCTGGCTCCTCTTGGCCCTGGTGGTGTCTGTGGGATTGCAGAGATCAGAGACAGGAAGCTCAGTCACACTGTACAACACACAGCCCAGGTGATTACAAGGCAGGACTTCCCACAGATTGTCACAGAACACTGCTTCTTCCACCCCTTTGAATGAAGCAGGCAAAGTAACAAGTTTGACTGAAAGTGCAAAGCTCTTTTTGCCATTTTTATTTATTTTAAGCGATCCTCACAGCTTTGAGCCTGGTTATCAAATTCACCAGCACTTGCTAAATTATAAATGGGCAACACATCGGCCCTCAAGCAAACACTTTCAAGCCTCTGAGAAAACGTCATTTAATTTTAGCTTCTTGTCTTTAATTGAATCCCTCAACTTCAGAATTGCCATCAAGCCCCCCTAATTCATATGGGGCATTTAATCTATTTGGACTCTGGAGCTTTTCAGGTTCTGACGATATATGCAATATTTATAACAAAGATGGTCAGCTGGTTCTGAAATTTAACTAAACGTGCTGACTGAATGTAAATCACACCTGACTTTTCCCCTCTTTGCATACATCAAGAATGAACTATATCCACATGGTTATATCAACATCTCCACACTCGAAAGTATTTGTCTGCATGCAATCAAAATAAATGTCATAATTAAAACTGTCTAAATGCTGAAAGTTAAGACAAAAATCAAAAGTTGGAATCTTCATTTATTTCTTTGGAAGCAAGTGTGTAGTATTAAGTATTAAATGTGTACATAAGGAAGCAGTGATGGAATTCGTTAGTAGGACAAAATATAACCACATTTTTTTCCTACAAGAGTAATACTGTATGCAATTGCTCTTTTAAGTAAGAAAATGGTCACATTTGTGAATGATTAGCTAGAATAAAAACCTGCAATGAGATTTTAATACGAGTGACATTCCAGACTCAGAGTTTAACATCCATTATCCACTTGCATGTAACAAACACTTATTTAAGCTATTTACACAGTTCTGTACACTTTTTCATTAATATACAATTACTTTGTGACTCTGCTCCAAAACATAAATCACCTTTAATGTGCCTTAACATGTCAAGTCTCGAGCAGGCTCGGCTAACCCTCCCTCAACTGCTTCTCCTTTCGAAACGAAATGGCCACAGTCATGGGCTCATTTCAGTACCACTCCTGGAGCCCATTCAGAAACATAGCAAGCTGTCATTTGGTGCTTCCAGAAAAAAAGGCCAGGTTTAGTGCCAAAACATGAGGCAGTGGAATGGCATTTACTCAGGAGGTAAAAAAAAAAAAAACATTTCCTCCATCACTCAAGACTGTCAAACTGGCCGTGAAAAGCTGACAATTATACAAGAAAAGAAATAATATTGTGCTTGTGAAGGAAACACTCCTATGCTGAGACCAGGCTGTCCAAAATGCAAAAGGCTCTCTAGCTTCCTTTCTTATTCATGCACAAAACAGATATAAAAGGGTCTACTTCCACATATTTACTTGGATACATGATGTGACCTTACTGGTAGACTGTAAGTCAGACGAACCCTAAGCCTGCACTGAACATCTTTTGGAATAGCTTTAGTATGAACCCAGAAGTCTGATTCTAACTTGCTGCTGTGTGAAGCAGTTCTTTAACAGAACCAATGCTGAAGCCTTTCTGCAAACATAAGGAGAGCTTGAACAGTGAAATTGCAGCCTATGTTCCACTTAAACTGTACAGGCTAGATACTGAGGAAAAACAGTATTACACAGGACCAGAGCGATCGTTATGGTCACTCGATAATTTAATAAACTAAGAAAGAAAAACCTAACACCTTTTTCTTAGGAAACATGTTTGGTAAGAATACTTGATAACACTTTATGTAAGGGGGTAAGATCACACTTTTTATATTATTAAATATTTACAAAATGAACACTGAAGCAGTCGCCACTAGAGTAATTAAAGGCAAATATATGCCTTTAATTAATAATGATACAATTAATTATTGGGAAGGCTTCCTACCAGGTAGTGAACACTGTATTAAAGATTTCTCCATGTGCTATATAACTTGTTATAAGGGGTTTATAGTTTGGATTTGCAGTCCCTACACTAAAATGCGACAAAATATTTATATTTTTGCATCATGGGCAAAGATACAAAATTAGACTAAGGAAACTATTATTTAACTTGACCCCAAAACATCAGAGCACAGTGTTTCCTTTCACAGCAAAACTAGCTTAAACAATACAAATATGCATTATTTATTTATTATAATAAATAGCTGAGGAAATAACCTGCTTAAGTAAGCCATGACTGAAAAATGATCATGTGAAACAAACTTCAAGAAAACAAAATGCACTAACGCAACATAGAAGGGAAAAGGCTCAGGTTTGCAGATTCAGTGCAGTAATGTATCCGAAGAGATTAGAAAAACCATCCGTGTCGCAGTTCGAAGCTGACTGCACTTACGTGGCACTGTTACACCAAAATGTTGGGGGTCGGAAATGAGCAGCTTCCTCTTCAGTTCATTCAAGCCAACTCCGGTGGGACCTACATATTAAAAGAAAAATCACCATGACCAATTAATTAACAATTAACAACATTACTGCACAAGACATTTGGGATTAAAGGACCTATGTTTACAGGGCAGAACCCCTCACTAACAGTGTCACATGTAGCTCTTCTTTGGAAATGACATTTAACAGAAGTTTAGAAATAGTTCTTTTGTTACATTTTAGCATCTGTACCCTCATACAATATTAGATGATTTACAAAGTGTCAGCTTAGACTGTCAGTATAGAAAGCACACTGAATACGAAATGTCTAATCACAAGATTCCTAGAATTACCTAAATATGGTACAAATACCACTGAAAAAACATGCACTGCGCTTTCTTGATTCCATCTGAACATATTGAAAACTCAGCATGCCTTTTATTCCATTAGGCAGCTGCATTTTCCATCACTGCTACTAGAAGCTGGGTAATATAATATTGATTTCTGTCTGTGGCAGCAAGACCGCATTTGTTTCCAAAACACAAATTTTGGAACACAACTGCTTGCTTTAGTCCTGAACCTTTCCACTCCTGAAACCTATCCTCCTTCGTCAAGAATAAGATTTCATCTGATATTACTTTGAAAAGATCCAGCACTTGGTTTTTAAACAGTGTAGACAAGAGCAAATTACGGTACACTCCACACCCTAGCTCAGCATACCATAACTACAGCATCAACAGAATGCTGCTACTAATCAGGATTCCTAAAATAGTTTCCTTTAACATCAGCTGTTAAAAACCCTCGCTTTTTCAGAACGACACTTTCCAATGCAATGTCTCTTGCGGGAATAAAATGAAAATATAAATTTAGATTTGTTGCCAGCGTAGGTAATGACTGAAAGTACAAGGGAATGATTTGAGAATAAATGATCGGGGAAATAATAAACTAATCAATGGAAGACAAAACAAACTCTGAACGCCAAAAATGTTTCAGTGTTTATCTTGAAAGGTGTGCATTTCTTTCCACTGATCACTTCCTGCATATTCTAGGTGATCTAAATGATGTAGATCCCCAGATGCCATGCACAGTAATTAGTCAGCTGTAAACTTAAGAATGTTTTAAAAAATAAATCAACGACGTTAGCTCATCCTGCAAATCACTGCTCACGTTGTCCAAACAGCTCCACGCCGTTCAAAGACAGCAATCAGTCTTGTGGACTTTTTTTAAGAAAAGGTTCAACTGAGTCTACATGTGATTTATTGAGACAAGGAAATGGAGTTAATTTGAAATTAGTTTCGAAAAACCACAAAGAATTTGGGGCTTGTGTTCGAAACTGCAATGTATCACTGTACAGAACTGCTTTTAATGTTGTTCTAGGTGTTAAAGTCACTGAAGCATGTTAATACAAGCTTTTTATGACCCATATCTCAGCAGTGAGACACTGTTAGGTGGCAGAGCTCCAGTTGTGCTGAAGTGACAAATTTGTTTGTTTGAAATGAAGCTCAGCAGTTTTTGTGGATATTGGCTCTCAGAGTAACCAACTTCAAGACTGACTAAAACCGCTTTACTGTAGAATGAAAAATTGTCCACACTATTTACACTTCTGTAATTTTATTAAATCATTTAAAAATTAAAACAATTTTCTTGGTGGTTAACTTTCACTAAATTAAATGTGGGGCTACTTACACCAAAACTATGTATAGTACTTTGAATTGGCCAATACAGTAAGATGACAGTTTCTTCAAGGAATTCAGTACAAAACTGTTGAATTATTATCCTGAAAAAGCTATTTTTTATCCACAATGCGCTTAACCAATGCAACACGACGGCAAGCCTTTAAAATTATACGCACCAATAAAATTGGATTTTTACAATTGTTTCTTTGCGTTATTTAAAACGCTCTGTTCTACTTTTCTACCAATCAGGAATTTAAGACTGTGCCTACGAGTTACTGTGTTAAACAACTGCCAATAAAAGTGTCAAACTTCATTACTGTGCTCATTAGAGGAACGGTTTAATATTTGGACTTAATAACTTCCAGGCTAAATGCTGAAGGGCTAAGATGCACTTTCCTTCGAGAGACTGAGAGGCATTTCTTCTCTTCAGTTACTCTTTCAGTAAATGTCTAATAAAACAGGTCTGCTCCACCAAATATTAACGGTGGAATTAGTCAAATTTAAACTGAAACTAATCAAGGTTTAAGGTCTGAAGGCCAGAGCATTACGATAATCCCAGATTAACAGAGAAAACATTGTTATTATACTGTATATATTATACAAAGTTGTGAAAAAAGTCCAGCGTGATTCTAGCTGTGTGGCGATGAGCATTAGTTCTGACCCACTAAAAGAATTCGGTGTGGTTTTAACAGAGAGGAGCAGAGGTTGCAAAATGAGGTGGCCAGAGCTAAGGCTGTGCTATAAGGTTTCCATCAACAACCAAGTGATCCTCAAGCTCGTAAGCGCGGTCCCCCACAACACCATGCCGTCCCCACTCAAGCACCCCCCCCCCTTCACGCAGGCAGGCTACTCTCAACCTTTTGTGATTTCTCCTGAAAGAAAAGTGTTACCACGACTAAAAAAATGACACACCACCAGAATGGGTGAGTATACACCTTTGTTTCCAGGTATCTGCCGACTGCAATCAGGTTTAGGATTTATTTGTGTGTGTGTGTGTGTGTGTGTGTGTGTGTGTTAGCAGCAGGTGATGCGCTACGGACTGTACAAACGATCTCTCGCCCAGTTTCGAGAGCCTGACAATCCTGTGGCTGGATCACACCAAGCTCATCAGATCTGGATTGACTAGTTGGTTCTCTTCAGCTGACAGCCCTCTCGCCATTTAGTGTTGGTATACGGCCAAACCCTAAATACCCAAGCAACTTTGTTCCAAGATCCCTCCAGAAACATCCCCACCCTCTGTCTTTCATTAAGTCAAAACATTGTTGCAGTTTCAATACAACATGAGAAACTCCATCCAATGGTTCTACCCTAACAGTTACGGCTATGCTTTTGATCATGTTGAAGGGGAGATGCGATGTGCAAACACCACAACCTTGTTTCATACTGTATATTCATTTTAACTGGTTAAGACTGAATAATTAATAAACAGGAGTACGATGTATTTAAAATGTGCTTGTTTTACTTACCAGAACACATCTCATTTAGGGCATCAGCAACAATATTTCCAATCAATTTTCAAGTAATAAGAAGCATCAGGAAAATGATACTCAAATACTTTTAATGCTGCCACTTAATTTATAAGACTAGTCATTACTTTCAGCAACTAGGAGTATAAAACGGTCTACAGTGTTCATCATTAGTTTTCAAAGTAATAAAATAAATACGAACACCGCCATCAAACCGCTTGATTTTATTTGAAAATTATGGAAAGTAAAGAGTTTGTTTAGTTTGAACAGAATAATGACAGGCCTCTCCCCCATCATTCAGACATGCACTCTCAGTTTCCTGGCTCAAACAGAGTCTGAAATCTAAAACAGGGCCATAAGAAATTACCCAACTAAGTCAGGACTCCAGGGACGAAAAATACCAGAAAAACATAAAGCAGATATTTTCTTTCTTTCACATTGCTGGGTGTGAAATTATCCATAGATGTTCTCCAAATTCTGTAACTTAATTAGAAATATTTAGATTATTTTGACAAAAAAAAATCTCACTGGGAGGTGCATCGTTTTTATTAAGGCTGACTTGCTGGCAAAGAGCTAGGAAATTACAATCTCCAGACTGAGCCATCCATATGACAAACTCCATGCGCTACAGCATGCTCAGAACAGAGAGGGCTACTCAAGCTCAAGAGCAATAATAAAAATACAGAGGGTTTTGTTCAAACATTGCGTCACTGGCCAAAAATACAAAGCAGAAAAGAAGGTGTGCCAATGTCATCTTCAATTCAATTGAGCTGATTTGGGGTCAACGTACGTTTCAATAGTCACTATGCACACAAACACGACATAACGCTGATTAACCTAAATCTGACTGAATTACTTGAAATGTTATGGTACATATTGTCCTGGTTATATTTATGGGTCCTCCTTCAATTTGTGGGAAATACTTTTGAGTTATGCCACCCTTTAGAGTGGGTTTACAGGAGCGTGATTTATTATTTCAGCAGTTACCTTGGCCTGCTGCTACAGTATACCACTCGTTGGCTGCAACGGCTCAACAGGAGCCTAAGGCTCCGCAGGAGCTCTGTAGCGGCCGCTGGAGGCCCAGGACTACACGTGCCGACTGCGACGACCCCGCGCGGCTCATACTTACCGACCAGAACCGCCAGCCTGTACTTTTCTCCCGCCTGTCTGCGGTAGGTGGTCACCTCTTCGTACGTGGGGACATCCGCCGTGTCGTATAGCTCACTCTTCTTGCACTCGTACATGGACTTGTTCGTCTTCCGGTCCCTTCTACTGAGACGGAAGCTTCTCCGCAGGCCAGCTACAAACAAACACCCCCGCTTTTGTTACTGGCTGAGAATAGGAGCGTAAGAGAGGTTACAATAGACACGAGGTCACCTGGCCCCTCTAGCCCATTTGCTAGCTAGAGGCATTAAGCGATACAAAGGCCTCCTCCAGCTGGGTCTGGAAAGAAGCCAGGGAATCGGCTTTAACAACGTGGCTGGGCTGCTTGTTCCACACTCCCACCACCCTTTGGGTAAAGAAGCATCTCCAGCCCTGACTGGAGGATCTTATCCAGCTGTATCCAGTAAGAAGCCAGGGAATTGGCTTTAACAACATGACTGGGCTGCTTGTTCCACCTTCCCACCACCCTTTGGATAGAGATGTGGTTCCTGCTGTCGGTTTTAAAGGCACTCTCCTAGTTTCAATGAGAAATAAAAGTCCTAGACGGCCAACACAAAGATTCCGAACAACAGAGAAAACTTATGATTTAAAACCTTATGATTTTTAAAAATCCAATTTTTCTACTGATCAATTTCCCATGCCAGGGAGATATTCAACCCTTAAAGTGAACATACTGTAAACAGCTTTGTACCAACTCAATTAATAAACCGCTAACCTGAATGATGTGTATGACATGTGTCCATAAAAGAGCAGTACTGTAGTATCTTCCTGACTGGGAGTAACTGGCTAGGTTTTGAATATTTTGCTTATTTTGTATTTCCTGTCAAGGCTAAGTCATTTGTGGAGTGCAAAAGTCTAGTTTTAATGATGTAAGTCAGCAACACAAAGAATATGATCATCTCATATCGCCGACCACCTAATCTGCGTAACCTCCTTGTTCACAGCTCCCTTGACC